GCGGCTGCACGGGATCGGCGGCTCTGGGGCCTGGGCCCGGGCGGACGGAGCTCGACCCCCGCAGCGGGGCCCAGGGTCTCAGACTCGCTGCTCCCCTGCTGAGGACGGGGACAAGTGGCGGTGGGTTTTGGTGCCCGAGGAGAGCTTGGGCCTGAGGTGCGGCCCGGCGCGGGGAGCAGCGGCGGGGCGCAGAGGCCCTGGTGGTCAGAGCACCCCCTCGCCCGCCGCCTGCCAGCTTCCTCCTCTTTCCGGGCAGGAGTGGGGGGAGGGCCCGAGGGGGCCAGGCCGCAGAGCTGCCCCCCGCCCCCAGGACCAGCCAGAGCAGCCTGCGCGACCTCCACCTGCACGTCCGGATGATGCCACCCCCTCCCGGGCCCTCTCCCCGGCTCCAGCTTAGCGGGGCTCAGGTCCTCCCCGGACTGCGCTGCGGAGGCGCCGGGGAACGGCAAAGGCCCGGGGTGAACACTGGAGAGATCGGGAGGGGCGCGCGAAGGCCGCGCCAGACTCGGAGACGCCGGGCGACGCCAGGTGAGCCGGGCGGGGCTGGGGCCCGGGGCGCCGGCGGGCCGGAAGGGAGGCGCAGGGCCGGACGCCCAGGGCGGAGGCCGCGAGGGTCCCCGGGGGGTCGGAGGAGGGGTCGTCGCGTGCGCGCGTCCCAGGCACCGCGAAGCTGGCGCCACTGCCCGCGTTTCGCTGCGCCCAGCTCGGCGGCCTCCGCGGCCGGCCCAGGCGCCGCCTCCCGTCCACGAGAAGCCGCGGCGCCAACTCCCGCAGCCCGGCCCGGAGACGAGGGGCTGGGTCGGTTAGGGTCTGAGCGGCGCCCCAGCCCCGCCGGGTCTCCGCCCCCCCCCACGGAGGCCGGGCTCGAAGGCGAGGAGGGGCGATGGGGAACCTCGGGCGAGGGTGCAGAGGGGCCCCGGCAGAAGCAGGAGCCCAGAGGAGGGAGGAGAGCGGAGAGAATCCGGAGGAGAGGCTGGGACAACCGGGCAGCACGGAGCGGGGAGGCGCTGCGGGGCCGTGGGCGACCGACGCCCAGGGGTCAGCAGCTTCCCGCTGCCCTTCCTGAAAGCTGCTGAGAGCCGGGCCCCGCAGTGCGGCCTGGACCCCGGGCCCTGGACAGGCGCACACCCCGCGCAGGCCCGAGGCCTTTCGGGCGGCGCTGTCCCAACGGAGCCCCCTTCACCTGCTCTCCCGGGGCCCCACGCCCAGCCCTGGGCCACCCAGCCGGGGTCCTGCGCCTCTGGCCTTGCGGACCCCAGGACGGAGGTGCCTCTGGAAGTGTCCCAAATCGCACCGGGTCTGCGGAGACTCGGGTTGGTCGGGGGCGGAGCCCGCCCGCAACCCTTCGGCCCCGGGGGACCCCGTACCCGTCCGGAGAGGTCTGGGGACTGCACGCGCGGCCACTGCGCTGGGAATCCGAGAGCGCAGGAGTCCGGGAAAGCTTCGTGGAAAGAGGAAGGTTTGAGACTCAATCGCTCTACTGACTCCGAATTAATGGGCTTTAATGCGCACAGTCTGCTAAGACGAAAACAGCCGGGTATAAACCGGACCCAAGAGAGACCCGGATCGGGTGAATAAACCAGGAACGAAACAGCTCCCCCGCCCCCCAAGCGCGAAGCCTCGCTTCCGGCCCTCACTTTCCCAAACACTTTGTTATGGAAGTTTTCAAATACGAAACAAAAGTAAACCGCTGCGGGGAGGAAACCTTGTACCCACCCCGACTCCACAATTAACTCTTGACCTCCCTGGTTTCTTTCTATTCTCCTCCTTTTGTTTTTACTAATTAATTTTCGTTGCCGTATTTTAAAACAAATGCAGGTATCGCAGCATCTCACCGGGAAATACATCACTGCATCTGTAACTTTTTAAAATAACTATCTGGCTACCCATCCCAGCTCCCGGTAAATCCACAGCCTGGTCCAGCACTCAGAAGCCGCTGGCTGTTGGTGATGAAAATGCAGACAGCACATTTCTGTTTTGACTTTCCTTTGATGTTCAGGTAGTCAAGTCCTGTTACTTTTGTGCAAGGGAAAAAACAAAAAAACAAAAATTGAGACCGTCAGCTGTGGAGGCCGCAGGGGCGGCCCGGCTCCTCCCCAGGTGGTGAGGGGTGAACCCCACATGCCCACAGTGGTCTCGGTTCTCTCACCTGCTGGAGCTCCACACCTTAGCAGTGAGGGCAGGGCTTCCCTCCTGGCCCACCTGGGAGGCAGCTCCCCCTCCTCCTTGGGCAGCCAGGCATCCTGAGCTACCGTGGGGACCTAGAGAACCAGATGATACCCAGGAGACCTCTCAGCTCCTGAGAGGCTGGCACCCCACTTCCCAGCAGCCTCCCAGGTGGGGAAGGACATCAGGACCCCGAAAGAGGGGGAGACCTTTCAGGGAGCAGCCCCCAAGGTGTAGGATGGAGGCCAGCAGCTGGTCTCTGGGCGTCCTACAATCCGTGCTCCCTCAAAACAGGTTGCTAGGTGGGGAAAGAAGGGCACAAAGGATGTGGGGGAGAGCCTGAGGGGCAGTGGAGAGAGGGAAAGCCCCTGGGCCACCCCTCCCCCAGCACTCACCTGGCCGGCGCCCAGCCCTGGCCTCCACCCAGCTGGGCTGTTTCCTGGGCAGGCCCTGGGCCAAGGCTCTGGGAAGCTTCGAGCCACCTCTCCTGCAATCGGTGACAGGCTCAGGGCTCCACAGAGTGCTCCCACCTGGAGGAGAGCCACAGCACCTTCCTGGGCAGCAGGGCTGTGTATTTGCGGTTCAAAGGCCAGGCTGGCAATCCCCAGGCCAGCAGCCACTCTGTGACCCTGGATGCGACCTGCGTGGGGCAGACAGGCAGGGTGACCTGAGTCTGGCCCGGGACACCACTGCCTCAGCCCTCCTGGTGCCCTGGGTGCAGATCTGCCTTTGGGGCCCGCTGGTGAGGGGCCTTCAACCCCCTCACTGCTCTTGTGGACCAGAGGACTGCGGGCTGGCGGGCAGCCTCAGACCTGGTCTTATACCTAGCTCTCTCCAAGCTACAGGCCGGTCCTCATCCTCCGGGTAGGAGAGTAAACCGAGGCTTGGAGAGGGAGGGGCTTCCAGCAAGTTTACCAGCAGGATTCCGCCCACTAGTGGTTCCCTGCTCAGTGTCCAGAGCCCATTTGACCCAGCTGGGCTCAGGGGCTCAGAGGGGCTCCCCTCCAGGGAGCCTGATTTGGGGGAGTGGAGCGGGCAAGGCTGATGTGAACCCGGAGGAGGGAGGGAGGGCCACGGTGAGACAGATCGAAGCCATCCATCTCTGCCAGCCGCTCGGAGCCAACGCGCCCGAGGTGCGCCACGATCGATGGCGCAGGAGCTGGGGCTCCGAGGGGCCGGCGCCCCCAGGGGCTTCGCAGGCTGAGCTGTGTGGGCCTTGCCTTTGACCCAGCAGGCGCCCGTCCCCAGGACTGAGAGCCTCTGGCTGACTGCCGAGCAGGGCAAGTTCCCTGAGCACAGCTGGGGATCCGCTGCCTGGGCGGGGACCCTTCTGCATGTCCTGCCTGGGACATAGCCTCTCCCTTCCCATCTCTCTCCATTGCGCTTCTGAGTCTTGAGCCCAGAGGCCTGGAAATTGCTCTCCAGCCCAGTCTCACTAATTCAATAAAAAACAGCCCTGTCTTCAAATCTGTCCCACAGTTGAGCTGGTGGACTTGCCTGGTGCCAGTGGCCAGTGGCCACCTCCCCTGCCCTTCGCCTTCTGGAGACCCCATGGCTCCTACGAGTACCTCCCAGTGGTTGTCAAGCCGATTTTGCTGGGAGCTCTGGTTGGACCCATCTGCCACTGAGGGACCCATGGTCACTACAAGACTAGGAACTGGTTGCATTATGGCCATGAGCCTTTATCCTGGGTTTTCATCATCCTGTTCAGGACAGGCTGAGCAGAAAGCCCCCAGGACCTGGAATCCAGAGGCCTCCACTGCTGGCACAGCACTGCCCTGCTGCTGGCCCACAGTGCCAGACAGCAAGCGGCAGAGAGGCCCAGACCCTTCAGAGCCAGGGTCTGCACTGGGCTCCAGCATGGTCACCGTGGTTGCTGGTGACCAGTCCCTTCTGGGGACCAGCAGCTGTGTTCCGGGATTGGATGAGGCCAACCAGCAGCATGGACACCAAAGCCTAGAAAGGGCACTGGGTGGGGGGAAGATGGGAGGGGACACCCCACTACCCTCCTTCACTGCTGGCTGGGGAGGCCAGAAAATAAACTCATTTCATTGGAGTGGATCATAGTCCCTCCCAGGAGAAATCAGCAAAAACAGGCTTACTAGTGAGAAAAGCAGTTGGGGTGGCATGGGCAGGGGAGCCCCAGCTGCCCTATGGGGGAGGTGGGCTAGGGAAGCACCTGCTAGCCAAGGACCTGTCCCCTCCACAGGCCCCAGGCACTGCACCAGCTGCTGAAGGACTGGCCACAGACCCCAGGGGCTGACTGCCACCGATGGGCGATGCCCCAGGACAAGTGGCACCTTCTCTAGGGTGTCTGGTACCTACAGTATGGCAGGGTGAAGTGGAGGGAGGTGGTTTTCAGGGCCTTCATTCTGCACGGACCCTGAGCGACCTCCCCCACTCAGAAGCACCAGTGTCCTCCACCAGCCCACACGGGGCAGACCACCATCTTCACCCAAAAGGAGGCCGATCAGCTTGGTCAGGTGACAGTGATCCGGCCCCCAGGGACAGCTTTCAGGGAGCAGCCTGGCTCAGGCAGGAGCTGGGGCTCCCCGCTGCCATCACTCCCCCAGGCTGGCCTTGGCAGTGGACATGGAGCTCCAGGGCCCTTGGGGAGAACTCTGGTCACCCAGCTTCACTGCTTTTGGTTCGGAGCCAGGCCTGGGAATTCTGGGCCACCCCCACCTCTGCTTCCCTGGCCCTCCCAAGGCCTTTCTGGAGTCCAGGGAGTCCTGTCCATCAGAGGAGCAGGCTCAGGGAGTATGGACCCCACCACCTGCCCCTGTCCAGGGGCTCCCAGCCAGCAGGTTCCCAGGGTCACACAACAGCCAGGCTGTCCACAAAAGTCCCTTTTTATTCCATACGCAAATAGGCATATTCATCAAAAAAAGGAAGTCTTCACCAGAGACCTGGAGGCCACAGCCCAGGACAGGAGCCCTGGCCCCCTGGCGGCCTGTCCCCATCTTTGTGGCAGGAGGTCTGGTTCCAGCGTGGGGACAGGGCTCTCCACCCCGGGGAGCGGCCTGCTGTCTAGCTCCCATTGTAGTCCCAGGAAGAGGCATCTTGTGCTGAGGAACAGTATGAGTGAGGGGCCAGTCTCCTGGAGCCCCTGGGGCAGCCTGTGTTAAGTTTTCGTTTGCTCCTGAGCTGTGTGCCTGGCTCCAGTTGTCTTTGCAGGGCCCATTTTCCCAGCGAGGGGTCCAGCCTTGTAGCTGGTGGGAAGCCGCTGTCCAGCTGCCCCATGCATTCTGGGGGCTCCCCAGGCCCGCGCCCGTCCTCCAGGTACCCAGAAGACCTGGGCGCCGCCCACACGCCTTGCGCCCCGCGAGCAGCATCAGCTCAGTGGCGCGGCCCGGGAGGAGCGCACGCGGCTCACACCAGGCCTGGCATCTGCGCCCGCAGGAAGGGCACGGAGGCGGCAGCAGGGAAGGCGGCCAGCGGGTAGGCGAGCGCCCCGGAGAAGCCGAGCAGCGGCGCGGGCGGCGGGGGCGCGGGGGCCGCCAGGGGGAACGGCAGCGCGGCGGGCGGCGCGGGCGCGGGACTCTCGTGGTAGAGCACGGGCACTCGCACCAGACGCTGAGCGCCCGGCGGGGACAGGCTGGCCGCCTCCAGCTCCGCCGCCAGCTGCCGCTTCCACTTGTTGCGGCGGTTCTGGAACCAGATCTTGACCTGCGTCTCGGTGAGCTGCAGCGAGGCGGCGAGGCCGGCGCGCTCCGCGCTGCTCAGGTAGCGCTTCATGTCGAATGCGGACTCCAGCTGGAAGACCTGGCTGCGCGAGAAGACCGTGCGCGTCTTCTTCTTGCGGCCGCCGCCGCTGCCGCGCGCCTCCCCAGCCACAGACGCCGGGGCCTCGGCCAGCCCCGCCGCCTCCTCCCCGCAGGCTGCCAGCTCCGCCGCCTCCCGGGGCACTGCTCCGGGCCCGAGGCCCCGCGGCCAGGCACCCTCGGCGCGCCCCATCTCCTCTCCGGCCTCCGGCGAGTCCCGGTCGCTGGCTGCAGAGGAGGGGGCATAACGGTTGGTTCCCAGCGCTAGTCCCAGACACGTCCCCGAGGCCAGACAACTGTCCCACCTCGAGGTGGCCCACAGCCAGGACCCTGTGCAGCCCGGCATCCAGCCCCGGCCCCGACGAAGAAACGGGGCAGGGGAGGCTGCAGGAGTGGCCCCCAAGACCAGAGAGCGGCTGCAAACCTACCCTTGGTTACCCCCGCTTAGACCGAAATGCACACCCACGCCCAGGGGATGGCCGAGGAAGGAGAGGAGAGGAGAGAAATGAGAGACATACGAACAGCAGGCTGACCTGGCCACTGCCCGGCTGCAAGCTGGGCCCCTGGAACACTATCAAGCACGGGACGTGAAACCCGGGGCAGGAGGACAGAGGCACTTCCAAGAAGGCCCAGACTTGGGAATGAAGACAGCAGCCATTCCCACAAGAGCCCTGGTGGGGTCACGGGATCCTGGGCCTGACTGACCCCGCAGAAGCACGCCCTCTCCCACCACACCTGCGTGGGCTGTCCTGCTTGTAGGTTTGAGGACACACAGGCCCCAGGGGAAATGGGGGGGCCCTGAGTGCCTGCTCCAGGGCTCTCCAGGGATGGCAAGGGAGGAGGCTGGTTGAAGAGGTCTGCCCGACCCCTGGGACCTCTGTGGGATGGAAGAGGGCAGGGCCCCCAGGAGCCCACAGGGACCAGCTCGGAGGTCGGTGGAGGGTGGAGGGTGTGCCGGTCAGTCGGTGCCTTCACCGGCATTGCGGACCCTGGTGGGCTGTCTGTGCTGTGTGCCGTCTTTGGAGGCTGCAGATTCCACTCGTGTCCCTGCCCAGTCCCTGTGCAAAGCATGGGCCCTCCTGTGCCCAGAGTGCCCACACCACCCGAGCTGGAGAACCCTGTCTCCCGCCACTCCCCAGAACCCTGATGCCTGGAGGCCCACGGACTGCCCTGCTCCGGTTGGAACCTGGGACCCTAACCCGGACCCTAACCCGTGTTGCGCGAAAAAAGGAGGAGCGGTCTCTTGGCCGGGCTGCCAGCTGGGCTGCAGGTGGGGCTGGCTCAAGGGGAAATGGGGAACAAATGTCACCCCACGGGGACACCGAATGGACTCCCCAGATTTCAATGAAGCCTCAGAGGCCCTGGTCCAGTTCACAGGATGTCTGGGCTCTGAGCTGGGGCCCTCTGGCCGTGGGGGTGCTCCCAGCCCAGAAAGGGGGTTACCCAGCAGGTGAGAGGGCTCATAGGCCACCTGCTCCCCAGCACACTCAGACCTGTGGGCAGACACCCAAATGGATTCCAGAGCTAGAACTGGAGGTCAGTGCTCAGCTGGCCTCCGGTGTGTGTTTGGGGGAGCAAAATGGGAGGTGAGAGTGGTTTAGCGTCTTGGTCTTCCTTCTGGGGTCCTGTCTCGGAAGGACAGGTCCACAGGGGAAGCACGGATCCTGGGGAGAGGGAGAACCCTGGGGCCCAGGATGCTCAGGCTAGAGGGGTGGGCGGCTCTAGGGCAGAGATGCCCCCACGCCCAGTCTCTGGGCCCTCGTCGGTGAACAAAGGCCAGGGAGGAGGAGAGGCAGGAAAACTGGACAGGGCTTGGACAGGACCTCCAAGGAGTCCCCTCTTGCCCCACAGCCCAAGGGCCTGGGAGAGCCCAGAGGGAGGTCCAGGCCCCGTCCCAAGCACCATCCCAAGCCCCAGGCATGCACAAAGGAAAGAGAGTTGGGGAGCCTTCGTCCCTCCTACCAGGCCCGCTCCACAGACCCCCACTTAGTGCCGCTTGGGGCTGTGGCCCACTGCTGGGCGGGCCCTAGTCCTGTTCTCCCTTTATCTTTTCTCCTATCAGCCAGGGATTTGGGGCTTTTGTTTTTTGCATTTTCACTTTCCCCGCTCTCAGCACAAAGCTCTTCCTGCCTCCACCCTTCCATTTTCTTTCCCCAGTGCTCTCTCCCATCTTCTCCTCCCTCGTCCCAGTCCGACTTCGCTCTTCTTTCCTCCTCCTCTTCCACAGCCTGCAGTGCCGGTCCCCAGGCCTCTGTGCACCAGCTCCCGCTTAGGGCCCGCAGAGCCCGTCAGGGCACAGCCGCACGTCGGACGGTCCCTGGAAGTAGGTCCCCAAGCCCGCCCAGCCGGGGGCTCCGCGAGGGCCCATAGGACCCTGGCCCGCTGCAAGTCGGGGAGGGTGGCCGGAGAAGACGGCGACGGACGAGAGCCCGGGGTCTGGACCGGCTGGGGACTGGGGCGCCGCCTGCCTCCCGCTCCCCCCCGCCCCGTGCCCCGACTCACTGTCAGGGCTGAGGCCGCCCGCGCAGCCGCCGTGCGCCCGTGAGTGCCAGCGCGTCGCGGCTCCGCAGCCGAGCGC